CACACATCACTCCTCATCCTCCTCCCTGCTCTGCTGTTTTGTTGTTGTCACGTGACTAAGCTGTCTCAAGCAGACACAAGCTCGCTGCAGTGCATGAGAAATGGAGATATTCTATGGCTATAAATGAAAACACTGCAAACAGCGATGCATGTAGAAAAGAAATTCCCTTTTGTGGCAAAACAAACAAACAGAAAGGAAACAGTTTATTTAAACACCGGGAATAAGAGATATTTCCCCCCAGAGCAAGCAGTAAAAGAATCTTTAGGAGGAGGGAAATTCCTCAGACACACCCAGGACCCAGCACAGAGGTCAGAGGTCACTATCAGAGTCTTTCCAGAAAGGCAAAGAACATCCAGGTAGCTCAAAGAGTGGTGAAAATGATGTTTCATCAACACAAGCACACTTTCCAGGTAAGCACATTTAAATTCCAGGTCTCCAAGAACGTTTCAATTTTATTTGTCACATACACAGTTATAGAAGTATATCGTACAGTGAAGTGCTCAGACTGACTGTACAAGTAAAGAGGAAGACATAATAAAGATGAATTCAAATAACTTTTTGAATAATAGCTATCTAATATAAATAACTAGAAGGCCAACCATAGTTTAGGGGTGAGTACTGGGTACCGGGGAAATGGTGGGGTGGGGCAGCCAACAAGTGTTCCCATCAAGCAACCAAGTATTAGTGACAGTGTATTGGTATAACTGTTACATGGAAAGATGGAAACTGTTATGGAAGGACAGAAATACATTGTTTTTGTGCATGTGTACTGGTGTTTTTCTTGTATTTCTTCAGCCACCCTAACCAGTAGCAGTCACGTTCCCCTGTAACAGTTCCAGTGAAGGAAGTCTTAGAGGACAGAGCATCTATTTGCCTTCTTTTTGATGGGTGAAGGGCACAGGACAGCCCGAACGACTTCATCAAACACAGTTTTAACGCCACGTTGCGTCAGGGCTGAGCACTCCAGGTACTGGACAGAACCTAAGGACGGGAAAAAGAAGGCAGGTGGTTTATTACTGGAATCTGCTGTCTTCCATGAATTATAATTAACCATTTAAAAAAGTATCAGAGATAACTGAAGCCATTACCAATCTCTTTGGACAGGGCCAGTCCTTGAGAATAAGTAATTGGAGAGATTTTATTCTTCTTCAGCTTCTCCAGGGTGTCCTTGTCATCTCTCAGGTCCAGTTTGGTGCCTACGAGGATTATGGGAGCGTTGGGACAATGGTGTCTCACCTCATGGCACCACTACACAGAGATAACATTTACAATTTAGGGATATAATGTTTTAGATCGTTCAGTGTTATCTTGAACGCTTTATTTTATCAGTGCTGCAACTAATTGCCATTTGCATGAGAAGCCTGCTAAAGATGCAAACCAAGAATCCCAGCTGTGCACAAAAACTAGAATAACCAGATTTTCCAATATTTCCAGTCTTTGTTATCCTAACTTCTGTAAAGATCTCTCAAAACTATCTCTGAAAATGTCATTCAGTAAACACTTTTTGATGGAACTGCAAATAAACAATGCACCATTTTGCCCCAAATCCTGATCCAGTAAAACTCTTGGCTATAAGGGGGAAACCTCTGCGCAGCCAAACACACCTAGAGTAGGGGTGTGACTTGTGCCATCAGCCAGTGACATTTGCCCACTTGGTGATATGAGTGACTTTTCTGTCTTTAGCCTGTGGTGACAGGCTGTTTGGATTGTGACTAATTGACGGTTTCTTGTAAACCTAGTGGAAGTCCTTTTTTGGGGGGGTAAATATTTATCTATTTGGTTCATTACTAAGCTACAATAATTCAAAGAATAGGCAAAGTTTGACATCTTCAAATTCAAAATTGATAGAAAACAAACAAAATTTGGTCTTGTTTGGTGTTGGTCTCTTACACCCTTTCCAATGGAAAGTGGTTATACCGCACATGGTGTTAAACTTAAGTGGGAAACAAGTGTGACACACTGACAAATGTGTCTAATATCAAGCTAAATAATATGTAGACCAGGTCCTCTGCCAGATCTCCCAACACACCCTCACACATTGGGTAAGAATTTGATGACAAATTCTTAAGCATAAGAATTTGCTTAAGTGTATCTTAAGATAAACATTTGTCAGCTGTCTCCACTTTCCTGTGTTCCTTTCATTTTATGACAAGTTGGAATCTGTACTATAATTACCTACACAACGTCCTGTTAGTTACAACTTTACTTTCCATCATATTAGGATCTTTCAGGAACTGTAGCTGCATTTTTCCAATGAGCTTATTGATTAGTTTTCCATCTACAATTGCTTGTGCCTGTTTGGCAGCACAGGCATGAAATGAATGAACAACATGATGTCGACTACTCACCTTATGACGGACGTTTTCATACGAGGCAGGCATCACGAGTGAAAAGCAGATGAGAAACACATTCTGGTAAGACAGAAATACCGAAGTAATCACTGCCTGTAACAACCACTTCCTGTTAAGAAGGGTTTTTGAGTTTTATGCCAAATCTTTAGCTAATAGCTCTTTGGAAATCACCTTGTTTGTGCAGAAATACTTTTTTAAATGTCTGTTAAATTGTTATGTTTGAGATTTTTAGTCAATTCAACTAAAGAAATGGGAATAAATAATGTTTTTGCAACAGGTTTATAGTAACAAAGTGCTGGAAAACACAATTAAAAATCTGTCGACATAACAGTGGTTCATCCCTCAGCTTAAGTTCGTTTTTATACATGATTCTTAAATGGTTTAATTAAATAAGTAAATAAATACTGTAGAACTATTGCTCAAGAAGACTTAGAAGTGAGATATCAGGAAATGAGGGGAGACTTTTGCACAATAATGTAAGTGAACTATAGCACAACATTGAGTGATTGCTGACAATCAGAACGTAATCATGTTTTTGTTGTGGTTGTTGTACCGTCTCTGGGTAGGAAAGGGGGCGGAGTCTGTCGTAGTCTTCTTGTCCTGCTGTATCCCAAAGGCCCAGGTTCACTGACTTGCCATCCACCATAACATTGGTGGAGTAGTTGTCGAACCTGATAGAAAATGAAGTGCGTAGAAGCTAAACCTTCAGGCTTAATATAAACTGGTAAAACATTACCTCTACTAAAATAAAAAAACAGGAGAACAAGGGAAATCGATTGATTTATTGTTTCATTATTCCACTCCTATGATTCTAAAATCCTCTGCAAGGCTAATTTTAATATAAAACATTCACACGATGTCAAGCGATGCCAAGCATGATTGTGTAAGGATTGTGCAGGAGGATGAAAAACCAATTACTGACTTACACAGAGGGGATTTCCTCTCCGGGAAAGGCATTGGTGGTGTAGCCGATGAGCAGACAGGTTTTACCCACTGCTCTGGAATGAAGAAGAGGCTGGATTAGCATTTATTGAAAGAAGG